TAGAAGCTTTATAATTTTATTATTTAGATTAACTTATCATAAAAAAAATTATATTAGCTTTATAATAAAGTTTGTTAGTTATATTTAAAAATAATATAACTTTTTTCTTTGTTAAAAATAAAAATTAGTGTGTGATTCATATTTTTATATTTTTATTATATTTTACTGATTTTCTTATTATTATTTTTTATAAAAATAATCATTTTAATAATAAATATATGTAATACACTTTATTACTTTTAAACATTTCTTATTAGCCATTTAACATCAAACAATAATTGCTAATTATTATATAATTAAATGATTATATTAATTAAAATATACTCTATGATATTTGTTTTTTGCCATTTACCATCTACTAATCGCATCCCTGCCACCCACTATCACTATCTATCAAATTTTAACTATCATACAAAACATACCCTAAATAGAGCCTTAGTTGTTACATTTTAAGTTGCATGTTTGTAGAGAAAAATATAAAATTAATTGTGAAGCGATTGAGATTTTATATGTACTTCTAATTTAAACCAAAAATAACATTGGAGTAAAGTTGAAAAAAAATTTAGTTCTTTATTTAATATGTAAATTTACAAATAAATGAAAATAGTTCTTTTTTTAAAGAAAAAAAAAAGTAAAATGGAATGGAGAAGAAAAATATAAAAATTAATTGTGAAACAATCGAAATTTTATTTGTCTTTAATTTAAACCTAAAATAATATTAGAGTAAAGTTGAAAAAAAATTTTAATGTTTTATTTAATACTATAAAAATTTACAAATAAATTAAAATAGTCCTTTTTAAAAAATAACAAGTAAAATGAAACGGAGCAGGAGTGACATTCCTAACCATCTCCTATCATAAAAAAATATATATCTATATAAAGTAATAACAAACTAGCTAAGTGATATACAATTTCTTTTTTAACCCATACAAGATATTATAAATTTAAATAGCAAGCATACAAATAGAGCTAATTGCAAACTTACCTCCAACTCTATAAAAAGACAAAAAAAAGTTCCCAACTACCTCCATGTACTTATACTCAACTCCGTCGTTGAAAAAAGTTAAATTTTAATTTTAGTCTCTAAACTTTACATTTTAAACACTTTTAGTCCTTACATTTTTTGGCAAATTTTTTGTTTTCCGACACTGCAAATTGCACTTTTTTCGTTCTCCTTCTCTTATCAATTAAATGATAACGTGGCCATTAACTTATTTAAAATTTGTTTTTCTTTAATTTTTTAAGGACATGTCTATCATAAATGGGTCCTTTAGCTTAATTAAACAAAACATGCGACATTCATTTTGACAATTTTAACTTATATAGATAAATAATAAATTAAAAACTAAAAACTATCCTCAAATAAGCTTTATAAATTAAAATTATAATATTTACAAAATAATAAAAATACCCCTAAAATCTTTTTCTTCCTCCTCAGATATCTTCCATACCAGAAGTATTTTTGGGTATCATATGTCCAAGTAAACTAATTTAATGATGTGTCATTATCACATTATCACAATAGTATCATTTTAGATTGAGTTAACAACTACATCATCATTTAACTAACAGAGAGATAAAATTTGTATTATTAATATAATTGTGGTTTTAAAAATAGAATAAATATATTGTAAAATAAAAAATTACTAACAGAAAGTTGCGCATAATATGAAAAATGAGTGTTTGAATCTCAAGGCTGTCATCAATAATTTGGTTAAAAGTTTTGAGAGTTTTATTAGATAAATAAAATTCCAACCACTCATGGACACAATGGTTCTGGTGGCAAAGAATCAAAATAAGAAGTTGAAGGTTGTAGGTTCAAGCCTCACGGGAGATAAGTTTGCCAACACTGTATTGAACCATTTGGTTGAATGGTTTATTAGTTTCAATGGTTCTTATCGATTTCAAATGATTTAACCATTCAAATAGTTTAAAAAATACACTTGAACCATTTATAATACTGGGTATCGATTTAACCGATCCAACCAGCCAATTCAGTCCAATTTTAAAACCATGCCAGCCACTCTTTTGATTCGGTTACAACTCTATTGAGCAGCTGATAATTTAATA